CTCAAGTAGCTACGACTACAGGTGTGTGCCACTACACCTGGCTAATTTTTTGTATTTTTAGTAGAGACAGCGTTTTACCGGGTTAGCCAGGAGGGGCTCGAGCTCCTGACCTCATGATCCACGATCCACCTGCCTGGGCCTCCCAAAGTGCTGGGAGTCACCATGTGAGTCACCGTGCCCGACCCTGAGTATTCTCATAGGTGCTTTCTGTGATGAGGCACAGGGGACTTGGTGCTCTGGAGATTGGGTGTGGTTATTGTGCCTTCCCTTTGTTTCCTACAGGCCCAACTGCAGCCTCCTCAGCCAGCCCCTTCCTAAGCCTGGGGCTGGCAGGAGACAGAGACCAGGGACAGGACCTGGGACAGACTCCACTCAGGACTTTGCCCTCCCACTCCCAGCTTTCCGGCTCCGAGGCTCAGCAGGTTGGCCTACTGGGACGTGTCTCCACCTCAGCTTCTCAAAGCCTGGTCCAGTTGGAGGAAAATGTGGACAACAGGGAGGAGAAAGTGAGGCTGTCCATGTCTAGGGCCCCAAGCTGTTTCCAGACTTCTGTGTCCCATAAGGGAAGTGAGTGGCAGCTGCATCGCAGCTCGGCTCACTGGGTCATGGCCCCCATTGGCTCAAGAAAGGAGAGGGGTCTGGGTATTAAGATTTCAGAAGTCGGGACTGGGCCCAGGGGCTCACGCCTATAATCCCAGCACTTTCGGAGGCCAAGACAGGAGGATCACTTCAGCTCAGGGGTTTGAGACCAGCCTGGGCAACATAGTAAGACTCCCATCTCTACTTAAAGCCCGGTGGGGTGGTGCGCTTCTGTGTCCCAGCTGTGATGGTGCCACTGCACTCCTGCCTCAGTGACAGTGAGACGCTGTGTCAAAAAAAGGCTCAGGAAACCCTGTCAGGACTGCATGGCATCCCTCACTGACAGCCATGTCAGGTGAGGCTGCTGGGGAGGGTACAGAAGAGGGGGCTTCAGGTGGCTCAGCAGGTTGATTGAGGTGGTGCAGCTCCAGGTTCTCAAGTCCTAGGGCTTTGAGGCTTGGCCTGGGGCAGTAGGGAACTACGGAAAGCGGTGGAGGAGGAGGAGGCAGCTGGAAATATCAGGGTGCCCCAGCAGGTCCCCTTCTGGGTCCAGGGGGCAGAGGAGAGAGTGTGGTGCTGCGGGCATGTGCCCATGGGCAGTCAGCAGAGGCGGAGGTCCTGTTCCAGGTTGGCAGGCAGCCCTTCCAGCCCCTGGGACGCCTGATCTTGCAGGCTGCCAACCACAGCCTCCTGCTGGCTGCATACGGCTACCAGGGGCTCCTGCTGGGCCATGTGGAGGTGAAAGGGCCTGGACTGGGACACAGGAAAGGGGTTACTGTTCTCTCTCTGGGCAGAGGCCACAGTGCCAGGAACCCCGAGCTCTTTGGGTCCATCTGTGCCCAGAAACCAGAGCACACGGCCCCAGGGTGAGGCCCGCACCTGCCGCTGGCACTGAGACCTTTTGTCTATTTCATTCCTACGAGGCCCCGAGTGAGTCCCAGCCTCTTCTCTGTCCTAACAGTCCGGGATTGCAGCAGTTGGCTCCCAGGTGCAAGCCTGGCAGGAAAAGATTCAAGGCTTGGGTGCCTCTGTGAGAAGGTTCCAGCACCTGGTGGGTAGCACAGGGGGGAAGGATTGGGTGGAGAGCTCCCTCTCTGGCCTGGCTTGTAGCCCCCACTTGCCAGGCATCCCACCCTGGGCAGGAGGGTCTGGGGCTCTCTCTGCCCTGGACCTCACCCTGATTCTGCCTTGGCTACCCTGCCCAGGTACAGCCAGCAGGCACCCTGGATGGCATGGCAGGCCGCCTCCTTCTTTGGCTGTCCCAGGCAGGGCTGGAGGCCATGCAGGTGAGTGGTCGGGCGGTCACCACCTTGTGGGGCCAGAGCCAGGCCAGGCAGGCACTGACCCAGCACCTGCCTCTTTACCTGGAGCAGCTGTGGAATGAGCTGGAATGTAAGTGTGGGAGGGACGGCTCAACCCTGCACCAAAATCCATGCCCAGTCCGGGGCCCTACGCCCTCACATTGGCCTATGGCACTGTTTCAATCAGAATGGTGGCCTTGCTTCCTGCCAGCCTGCAGCCCAACTCTGTTGAGATCCCTGCCTTACTTCTTACCTATATCCTTGGGTTTGTTTTGTTTTTACACGGAGTCTCGCTCTGTTGCCCAAGCTGGAGTGCTGTGTCATGAATTTGGCTCACTGCAACCTCCTCCTCCTGGGTTCAAGCGATTCCTGTCTCAGCCTCCCAAGTAGCTGGGACTACAGATGAGTGCCACCACGCCCAGCCAATTTTTCTATTTTTAGTAGAGATGGGGTTTCACCATATTGGCCAGGATGGTCTTGACCCCTTGACCTTGTGATCCACCCGTCTCAGCCTCCCAAAATGCAGGGATTACAAGTGTCAGCCACCGTGCCTGGCCCAACCTTCTTTTTTACCATGGTCTGCTGTCTTCTTACAGGATCTCCAAGCTAATATCCCTTATGCCTGCTGCCTAGGTTTCTCCAGTCTTCCGCCTGCTTTCTTTTGAGCGGACAGCCTTGTTTCTGTGAAGCTCACTGCCACAGGGTCTCTTTCTGGTTCCACAATGAGCCCTCTGTGGCCATGTGGTCATTAAACGCTCATAGCTACTGCCCTTCTGGCAGGACTAAGAACTTCTGGCCTCTCCACCATCCAGGGCTAATGTCCGGCCCAGCTCAGAGCCCACAAGACCCTGCCCAGCACCAGGGTGGGTATACCTCTGACCAGCTGTTGAATGTCACCTCCATATCCTCTCTGCTGTGCCAGAGTCCCATGGCCACCCACACGGCAGTGAATTTGAAAGGGTGCTCCATGACTCGGCACACTGTGCTGTTCGCAGCTGTCATTGACTACAGTGAGAGGAGGCAGGAGTGTTGGCGCAGGGAAGGGGGCCGGAGCGGAGTCCAGGGGGAACGAGGGACAGCACCTAGTGTCCTCTTCCAGTCCCAGCACCTTCACATGGGAGGCACTTGGCTGTCCTAGCACTATGTGACCCAGGGTGTTTAGTGGGGCTGCCCCATTGGCTGCTTGGTACGGACCACACTGTCAGACTCCTAGGAGGCAAGCAGGGTTTCAGCATAAACCACATTTGTGCAAACAGTTCAGGTGCAGAGAGCCTTGTATCACTTCTAGGAGTGGTGGGAACCCTCCCCGAATCCAAGTTCCCAGGCAAGCTATGAGCAGGCCTGCAGAGGCGGCTCGGGTCTGCTGTGACAACTCACCCGCAATCTCCAGTGCCTGCTGCTCTATTTCTTTTCCCCCACTCCCCCACCATCTTTACCCCAGGAAGAGGCCCTGTCTCCTTGAGGCCTGGGCTGGCCCTCTGACCTGCCCAGAGGCCTCATGGTGGGTGTTGGCTGCCAGTTGCAGGGCCCCTGACCACACTGAAGGACTCCTACTTGGAGGTGATGCTGCGGCCTCTGAAGGGGAGGTGTCGTGGGAGCGGGCAGAGGAGGCCATGTGGCGGCTACAGACCTGGGTGCCCGGGATGCCAGGCAATGGGGGTCCCAGCCCCATCAGGGTGGCCCTGGGGGCCGTGAAAGGCGCCCTGGAGCTGGTGAGTCAGAGCAAGGATGGGGCTGTGGCTGGCAGTTGAGGACGACGGAGACAGCGCTCACTGTCCTCTCCCTCTCCAGGTGGCCCACCAGATGCTGTCCTGGGCTGAGGCCACATTCTCATGGGCACAGAAAAGGCTCTGCAAACCCCTGCTGGACCTGTATGGCCTCACAGCCAGGTAACGTAGGGTTGGGAGTGGCGCATCCAGCGTTCCTGCCACGTATCAGGCTTAATGCTGAATGCTTCGACACGCTCTGACTCACTGACTCCTCTGACCGTCCTGCACAGAGGATTCTTCACTCCCCATTTCACAGAAAAGGAAGCTGGGGTTTCTTCCTCACTCCATAGAGACCTCATGAGCATGGTTCCAGTGCAGGCAGGATTTTAGGAGCTGCTTTGGAGGTGCGCAGTGGGCAAGACTGACCCCTGCCTTCAGGAAGCTCAGTTTTTCTCAGAGACGGACACGAAGCCCAAGAAATCATCAACAGCAGGGTATGCACAGCTCCCTGGAGAGAGCCTGAGAGTCACCTCTTAAGCAGGCCATTCCGCTCTGTCACATTTCCTTTTGTTTTGTAATCATCTTTTTTTCTTTTTTTTTTTTAGATGGAGTCTTGCTCTGTAGCCCAGGCTGGAGTGCAGTGGTGTGATCTCGGCTCATTGCAACCTCTGCCTTCTGAGTTCAAAAGATTCTTCTGCCTCAGCCTTCCGAGTTGCTGGGACTACAGGTGCGTACACCACCGCACCTGGCTAAGTTTTTGAGTTTTTAATAGAGGCAGGGTTTTGTCACTACAGGCTGGTCTCAAACTCCTAACCTTAGGTAATGCACCCCCCACCCTTGCCCTTCCAAAGTGTTGGGATTACAGGCATGAGCCACCACTCCCAGCCTGTTTTGTAATCTTTTAAACACACAAATCCCTTCTTTCTTGCTGCCTTGCAGAAGCCGGCCGCAGGCTGGGTGTGGCCCACTGCTCATCATTTACCAGCACTGAGCCATAACTTAGGTGGCAAATGCTAGAGAAGGAACGTTGTTGAGATGGTGGGCTGGGGATCCTATGGTGTGGCCATGGCCAGCTTTGAGGAGAAGGTACAGTTCAAGCAAGAGCCATGGGGCCAGCGTGGAAAGAGCTCCAGGTGGGGGCACCACCACACAGAGGCCTGGGAGAGGGATGTGCATGGCCTGTTGGTTTTTGAGATGGAGCCTCATTCGCTGTCACCCAGGCTGGAGTGCTGTGATGTGATCTCAGCTCACTGCAACCTCTGTTTCTCAAATTCAAGTGATTCTCCTGCCTCAGCCTCCCAAGTGGCTAGGATTACGGGCATGTACCACCATACGTGGCTAATGTTTGTATTTTTAGTAGAGTCAGGGTTTCACCATATCAGCCAGGCTGGTCTCAGACTCCTGGCTCCAGAGACTTGGCCTCCCAAAGTTCTGGGATTACGGGCAAGAGCCACCGTGCCTGGCCTGTTTTAATAGCAAGCTGGTTGGGCTGAAGCAGAATGTGAGCAAGAGAGAGTGGATGCAACTGGGAGGGACTGGGAGGTCCCGAGGCCGGGGTGTGGCGGGGAGGGCTCTAGCTTCTGCTCTGACCTAGGAAGGATATGATCACCCCTTCACTTCAAAAGGCCCCTTTGGTCCCTGTGTTGAGAACACAGCGGTGGTGGATGGAAGTGGGGACCCAGTATCCTTTTCCCTCGCAGGCATGAGACCCACCAGGAACCGGGCTCCAGGAAGTGAGGTAGCCCCCTTCTTCCATGCTGGTGGCCTCGCAGAGGGTCTGGACTCCAGCTCTGCCTCTAACTGGGATTCCTCTGCATCGGCTCTGTGTGCCTCAGTTTCCCCAGCTGTAGAATAGGGACTAGACCCGCATCATGGGGAAAAGGCTCCATGTAATACAAGTTCCTGCTCCTGCTGCCTTGCGGTCAGAGTGTAGGCTGAGTAAGGGAAGAGCTCCTAGGGCGGGCCTTTGGGTTGGCTGAAGAATCACCTGCCTGGTTATTCGCCTACGTGGTGAGTGGGATCTGGTGGGGGTGCCAAAAAATGGATTTAACTGGCAGGGAGGGCATTAAGGCTGCTTCCTGCCCCCAGCTGCAGGGCCTCTGGGCTCCCTAGAAGGTGAGTCCACCTGCCCCTGCACCCCCTCCACTGGCCCATCAACAACAGAATGAGCAATGTTCCTCGTCCCACTCTACCCCCACGCGAGCCGAGATCTCCCTGATCATTCAGATCTCACAGGCTTGACCCTACTCTACATACTAAGAAAGTTCCAGTCCTCCCCTCAACTGTAGACGTTTCCTAGACCTGTTAGACGGGCACAGTGGCTCATGCCTGTAATCCCAGCACTTTGAGCAGATCACGTGAGGTTAGGAGTTCGAGACCAGCCTGGCCAACATAGTGAAACCCTGACTCTACTAAAAATACAAAAATTAGCCGGGCATGGCAGTGAGTGCATGTAGTTCCAGCTACTCTGCAGGCTGAGACAAGAGAATCACTTAAACCCAGGAGGCAGAGGTCTCAGCGTCAAGATAGTACCACTATACTCGAGCCTGTGATACAGAATGAGATTCTGTCCCAGAAAACAAATCAAAACAATTCCTACACCTTCCAGCTCCTGTCCTCGGCATCCCCACACATAGGCCCCATGCTGCCCAAGACCCAGGCGGCAGATCAGGCATGACATCAGACATCTATGTCCTCAAAATAGGGCAGGTTGTTTCTGTCCTGGCCTCAACCCCACCTCCGCTGACATGCCAGCCTCTGTGCTCCTCCACCTCATTATGGGATTTCCTAAAACAAGGCCAGCTCCTCCCCAAGAGGCACCCCCATGGTTCAATGGCAGAGCTCTTCCTGCAGACCTGTGAGCTCTCCCTCTACAGCCAAAGGAAGCACGGCTCAGCCAGGCACAGTGACTCGTCCTGTTCCCTCTAGGAACTACTCAGTGGTGGTGACGCTGCTGCCACCTGGGGGTGACGTGACCTGGGTGACTGGCTACCTGGTGGAGGAGAAGCTGCTGAGGCCACTCCGACAGCTGTCCAGGGTCAACATGCTGGCCGAGTTCTACCGGCTCAGACGCCGCCTGCTGCAGGGTCCCTGGGAGAGTGAATCCAGCCCCAGGCTGTGCTGCCCTCCTCCCTGGGAGCCCCCTGCCCCATGGGCACAGCAGCAGGGCCATGCAAGAGCAGGTACTGTGGGGGCACAGGGAAGTCTGCAGAGGCTCGTGGCATCACAGTGCCAGGCCCAGAGCTTACTGGACTTCCCAAGGTCCTATGGGACTAGGGCTGAGGCTATACATTCTGCTTTTGTCCAGAACATAAGGCCTGGCCCAACAGAGGAGTACAGTGGGTGGTTTAGGGCTTCAGGCCAGTTCCCTCCCTGTGGGCTCTGCTGGAGAAGGCAGACCTCCCATTACAGCTGGAAGGGCACTAACTGAGTTCAAACTCGCAGGTCAGGGGCGATCTGGTGCTGGGATGACCAGCTCTGGGCTCCTGGGGAGCTTGCGTGTGGCTCGGGTGAGTCTGCTGGCCTGTGTGGACTTGGATTCCTCCACTGAGAAATGCAGGTAACCACGTGGCTCGCTCACATGGGTAAGCGGCATGTATGGTTCTTAATGCACGAGGGAGCCCCTCATGTCCATGGCGGAGGCACGGTACCCAGGCCTGGGAAAGAGTGGTTTATCTGTGTGTGACTCACATGGAGGCCTAGGGCTCCCTAGAAGCGTGGGTGCAGTCATGTCTAAGCAGCACCCTGATGCTGTAGAAAACAGCCTGGTCTTCAAGTTGTGTGTGTGTGACCATGGGCTTCACTGTGCCCCTCAGTTCTGATAGCTGACCACGGGACTGGTAGTGCCTCCCACAGGATGCTGGCCCTGGCGTCTGGCTGTGCATGACGGATGGTGCTTTCCTGCCATAGGCACGAGCACCTCCAAGGCACAGCTCAGGGGCCGCGCTGGCTGGACTGGTCAGACCTGCTCCTTCACAGGCCATCTCTTCCCTACCCTGAAGAGGGCAGGTCTGCAGGACACCGCTGTCATGTTTGAGGGAGCTGTTGACCATCCACTTAATGTTTTTTTTTCCCCCTCAGTAGCTTCCTTGAGATTAAATGAATGACTTGTGTGATCTTTTTTTTTTTTTTTGACGACTAGGTCTCACTCTGTTGTCATGGTTGGAGTGCAGTGGTGCACTCTCGGCTCACTGCACCCTTGACCTCCTGGGTTCAAGTGATCCTCCTACCTCAGCCCTGCAAAGTGCTGGGCTTAGCATGGCTTAGCACCACCGTGCCTGGCCGATCTGTGAATTTTAAGTGCACGATTCAGTGGCTTCTAGTTTATTCAGAGTTGTGCATGCCTCATCATAATCAATTTTAAAATGTTTCTATCATCCTCAAATGAAACCCTGCAGCTGCCAGTCTGCCTGCTGTGTCCATGGCTGTGCCTGCACTGGACATCTGATATAAATGGAAGCATAGAATACGTGGGTCTGAGCCAGGCTTTGTTACTTAGCACAGCAGTTTTGGAGCAGGTCTCAGGATCCGATTCCTCATTAGGGCTGAATTGGCTGTAGCCCTTCAGCTCATGTCATCCTGAAGCTGGTGGGGGATCACTGGGCCTCTGGCTGCTGCACCAGGGCAGGGGGACTCCTGGCCTCAGGGCAGCCTAAGCCGGGGCTCTAGGCATTGGGGTGCCCAGCAAGCATTGTGCTCCCACTGTGGTGGGTGGAGCTGGCTCCACTCACCCTGCCTTTGGGGCTGCTGCTTCCCAGACCATGCCCTGGTGGCCGGGGCCCAGCACGTGGTGACTTTCGACGGCCGGCTGTGGGACCTAAAGGTCCAGTGCAGCAGCATCCTCCTGGCCCAAGACTTTGCTCACAACACATTCTCCCTGATGCTGAGTCGGACAGGCTCAGGGCTCATGGCACTGACCGTGGAGCTGAAACACATGACCTTCATCTTCTACCCCAGCCGGCAGGTGAGGCAGAGAGGACCTAGCTTCCCTTGGAGACCTGTGCCTGGGGCAGGTTGCCTGGAGGATGGCACTTTCAAGCTTGTCCCCTGGCTGTGTGTCAGCCCTCCTGCCCACCCGCTCTGGTCCACAGGCCTACAGGCTATACAACTCCTACCTGCTGGTGGACAGCTAGCCAGACCTCCAGCTGCCTCCTGCTATGACAAGGAGGGACGTCCCCAGGATTGAGCTGGCCAGTGAGGACGGGGTGTCAATCTCCTGTTCCGTGCCCACCAGCCTCTGCAGCCTGACTCTGGGCCTCTGGCACCATGGTGAGTCTGGGCCCTGGCGGGATTGGCCCCACCACCAACAGCCTCTTTGGGATGCACCATTCTCAGCTTCCAGTGCGACAGGTCCCCGGGCTGTAGGCGGCGACTGTGGTTGAGATGATGGCACTGAGGCCCAGGGCTTTCTACTCCCAACCCTGGGACATGTGGTTCCCTGGGATAAGGGTGGAGTGGGCCCTTCTGTGGTCCCTCTGCCAAGGAACATAAAGGGTGGGCCTGGATTCTGGCCACTCGAGCTGAGGATGTGGAGAGGGGTCAGGGGACACATGCTGTCCTTAGTCCCTGTGCTTTCTCTCCCTCTTCTGATGACGGTTTGGAGCCAGAGCCCTGGGATCCGGGAGTCTGGGGTGGAGGTGGCGGGATCCTACTGCTTCTCAGTGTGCCTCAGGCTTGCCTCTCATACGGTCCCCAGGGGGAGGATCACGGGCTCTCAGGACATCCTCAGCTTCCCTCTTCCCTACAGGCATATCCGCTGGCCCTCTGGGCACCAACGACAATAAAGCAGGCAAGGGAGCTGATGTTGCTGGCTGGCTCTGTGGCCCACAGCCTGGAGGAGCTCAGCCTGGCCTGGTAGGTGAACAGGTGCACCTGCCCTTCCTCCCTCTGGCTGAGGCTCTTGAGGGTTGCTCGCTGCAGAGTCCCAGGAGAGGCAGGTGGCCTGCTGGCTCTGCAGCGGTCTTTGGAGACCCAGGGTTGGGGGAGTCTCCTGCTGAGGCCAATGTATGTGGGGGAGCCACATGGTCCAGCGGGAGGCCTGAGTCTTGTGTCTGTCCCGCCAGGTGGATGGTGACTGCAGGGCCACCGAGAAGACTCAGCCGACCTGCCCAGGACAGAGCCCCACTTGCCGGGCCTTCTTCCAGCTTGGGGAACTGCTTCTGAGTGATGAGTGTGAGCCTGGGCCCTGGGGCAAAGAAAGCTTGAACAATTCCTTAGTGTGTGTGCAGGACCCCTGTGGCACCTGAGAGCTCCAGCCTGCCTGCACTCTGGCGGCCGCCTACATCCACCTGTTTGCCTGCAACTTCGGGCCCCTGGCCCCTCCTCCACAGTGTGGTAAGCTGCCCCAGCCGGCTGGCACTCTGCCCCCTGTCTGGCATCTGCCTTCCAGCTGGAGGAAAAATCCATCTCTCTCTCTTGCCAGGAAGAACAAATAATTGTCATTCAAGGAGCTAAGAGTCAAAACATTTACAGCCTGACACAGCTTGGATGTGTGTCCCCTCCAAATCTCACGTTTGTTAGAGGGGGTGGATGGCTTAGCATCCTGTGTTTGGTGAAGCATGAGTTCTTGCTCTGTTAATTCACCTGAGAGCAGTTTGTTTATAAAGAGCCTGGCCCCTCGTCTCTCTCTTTGCACCCATTCCCATTTCTGCCATGATCATAAACTTCCCGAGGCCTCGCCAGAAGCCAAGCAGATGCTGGAGCTGTGCTTGTACAGCCTGCAGAACTGTAAGTCCATTATCTCTCTTATTTGTGATCTACCCAGGCTGGAGGGCAGTGGCACAATCTCACCTCACTGCAACTTCCACCTCCCAGGTTCAAGCAATACTCCTGCCTCAGCCTCCCAAAAATACAGGCAGGTATTTTTGTAGAGATGCTGTTTTTCCATGTTGGCCGGCTGGTCATGAATTCCTGGCCTCTGGTAATCCACCTGCTTCGGCCTCCCAAAGTGCTGGATGACAGGCGTGAGCCACCACACCCAGCCTCACTAGGGATTTGAATGTCCACTCTTGTTTAGGGAAAATGCTCAGCCCCTGTTTTCCCTCTGCTCTCATACCACAAAAATCTTCAACACAGAAGATGACTTCTGTGAGCAAATGTGTGGGGGTCTGTCCCCACTACCAGGATGGACCTCTAATTCAGTTCTAGCACTAGCTACCTTGAGATTCTTCAGCCAGTGCTGCATATGATTGCCACAGCCAAAGCCACACTAAAAGGGCACAGAAGTCAGTGGCAACAAGAGGTGTATTTCCAAGAGCTTCAGATGCCAGAATTAGTGGCTGCCATTCACAGACATTTAAAACTTAATGAATTCAACAGCAGAAGAGAAAATCAACTGGAAAATACGACAAAAGGCAGATGACATGAGAGGATCCAACATGTCTCAAAGAAATTCCAGGCCGGGTGTGGTGACTCATTAATGTAATCCCAGCACTTTGGAAGGTCAAGATGAGTGGATCACCTAAGGTCAGGAGTTTGAGACCAATCTGGCCAACATGGTGAAACCCCGGCTTTACTAAAAATACAAAAATTAACCAGGCGTGGTGTCTGCCTGTAATCCCAGCTACTTGGGAGGCTGAAGAAGGAGAAATGCTTGAACCCAGGAGGTGGAGGTTGCAGTGAGTTGAGATCTTGCCACTGCACTCCAGGCTGGTGACAGATTAAGAGTCTGTCTCAAAGGAAAAAAAAAAAAAAATTCCAGAATGAAAACAGAGACAGGACCCAGGACCCTTTAGAGTCAGGGGGCACAATCCCCAAATCCATCCATACCTAGACCCATCCAAACACAATTGCAGAAAAGACAAAGAAAAGGTCCTAAAAGCTACTGAGGAGGGAGGAAAGAAGGAAGAACGTGTTGAAAATTGCTATCCCGCCAGCAGCAACAGAAGACAGTGGAGTAAGAGAAAGTAAGCACGAGGTTACAGATGATCCGCAGCTCAACTATTAATGAAATAACCTGTCAGCACTGATCTGTCTAGAGATCTCTTTACCACCAATGGGCACTTACTCAAGGGATACATCCACATGTTCATTTACATACTGTCTGTGTCTGCTCTCCTGCTACAGCGGCAGAGTATTGCCAAGAGAGACCATATTTTTGCTCTCTGAAAGACTCGATTATAAGCTACAGATTGGAAAAAATGTTTACAAACCACCTATCAGACCAAAGACTCATCTCCAGAGACTCATCTCTAGAATATATAGAGAACTCAAGGCTCAAAAGTAGGCCAGGTGCAGTGGCTTACACTTGTATTCCTTGCACTTTTGGAGACTGAGGTGAGATGGCTTGAACCCGGGAAGTCAAGGCAACAGTGACCCATGATTACACTCCTGGCTGCATGACAGAGTGAGGCCTTGTCTCACAAAACAAAACCTCCAAAGTAAAAAATGGGAAATAAACACATCAACAACGTTTGCACTCCCAGCCATAGAGTAACAAGGTAGTGCTACACACCTGAGCTCCGGTGAGTTCCAGGGATGCTGCGGCATAAAGCATTAGTTGAACATCCAAATGGCCAGGTTGTGATTTCAGCATCCACTGATGAGTGTACTAGAAAAAGCACTGTTCTAGTACCAAAAAGGTGGTGGCTCTGAGAATAAAGCAAGGCTTAGAGGCAGGAATCAAGGTCATGGTCTACCAACCAGATCCTCTTGGGAAGCAGCATTGGACTCATGAAGTGCCAAGACAGCAGGTGGTGCGGCTCCCGGGAAGGCTGGAGAATCTGGGAATCAAGCAGAAGCACTCATTGTTCTGACCGTGTAAATACAAAACCGTTAGCTACTACAGCCATCAACAGAACATCTGGCAGGACAAGCAACTCAGAAGATTTATAGCCACAGGGTAACAATGGACTCTTATCTGCAGTTAAGGTCCTCTCCCTTCCTCTTAGGGCTTATTTTATCCATTTATTTATTTGAGACAGAGTCTTGCTATGTCACCCAGGCTGGACTGTAGTGGCACAATCTCGGCTCACTGTAACCTCCGTCTCCCGGTGTCCAGCAATTCTCCTGCCTCAGCCTCCTGAGTAGCTGGGATTACAGTCAGGTGCTTCCCAGGCCCGGTTATTTTTTTTTTTGTGTTTTTAGTGGAGATGGGGTTGCACCATGTCAGCCAGGATGATCTCAAACATCCGATCTCATGATCCTCCTGCCTCAGCCTCCCAAAGTGCTGGGACTACAGGTGTAAGCCACCATGTCCGGCCGGGTTTATTATTATTATTTTTTAAACAAGGGCTAAATTCTTCCCCTCTCTTGGACACCAGGGAAGTATTTAAGAAAAGCAGTCACCAATTATAGTGAAATTTTGAAAGACAAATTAAAAGGTGGTTATAATGTGACATGGGAAATGCCCCATAAAACTGCATACCTCAGCCATACATCGGCTTTCTGTTGAAATTGCTCTCTCAAACCCTGATGTGACAGGCAAGCAGTCCAAACCCACGCCATCTTGGCCCCTGCGACTTATAATAAGTAACTAAGGTCTGTAATTTCCACCCTACCCAGACAATGTGTAAACTACGCTTCTCTTGACTTCCGTGAACCACTTAAGTAACAACTGGAATGACCAAAGTCCCCTGGCCCTCGGAATATCTAAAGCCCCTCACCCTCACCCCCACCCAGGAGGTGGTTTACAGCCATAAAAGGTCTTGACACCCTCCCTTTGAGGCTCAAGTCCTCATCACCACCGGCAATGAAGACTCTGTAATTTGGCCTAGTCTTTGTCTCGGTGGTGATTTTGCACTCGTTCGGTTACAACAATAAGTTACAACATAAAGGCATCTCATGAACTCTCATAAGAAAAAGAGGAAGAAATTAAGATACTTTTTATTATCTTTTTGAGACAGGGTCTTGCTCTGTCCTCCAGGCTGTAGTACACTGGTGCAGCCTCCCAAGTATTTGGGATTACAGGCATCCGCCACCATGTTTTTTTATTTTTAGTAGAGACGGGGTTTCACCATGTTAGCCAGGCTGGTCTCGAACCCCTGATCTCATGTGATCCTCCCAGCTCACACTCAACCAGAGAAATTAAGACATTCTCAGATAAACAGAAGCTGAGAGAGTTCATTACACTGGGACCTACCCTGCAAAAAATGCTAAAGGGAGTCCTTCAAGTCAAAACAAAAGGATGCTAGGTGGACATTTGAAGCCACATATAAAGACCTGTGTTATTGGAATTTTGATTCATATCTCTGAGTTTAATTATTTTATTGGATTTAAAAGAGATGTGTAACCATAAGTCTGTGTTATATATATAATTTATAAAAAAACAAATTAGGCATGGTGGCGTGCACCTGTAATCTCAGCTATGGAGGATCGCTTGAGTCCAGGGCCTGGAGGTTACAATGAGCTATGACAGTGCCACTGCACTCCAGCCTGGGTGACAAGAGTGAGACCCTCTCTCTAAAATATAGATATACTTTGTAACAACAACATAGGATGGGGTAGAGCTGTCAAGGATTAGATTATTTGTATGTGATTGAACTTACTAGTTTAAAATCGATTGCTACAATTTCAAGATGTATTATGTAATCCTCATGGTAATTACAAAGAAAATATCTATAGAATGTGCACAAAAGGAAATAAGAAGGGATTCTAAGTGTGTCACATCAAAAAATCAATTAACACAAAGGAAGGCAGAAGGAAGAAAATGAGAGAGAAAACAAACCATGAGCCATGCAGAAAACAATCCACAGAGTGGCACCGGGAGGCCCCACAAATGGTGTGCCCCGCAACTGCTCACTGAGCCCCTGGCTGTGGGCCTCATGGCACAGTCACCCAACAGGGTAGTGAGTTTCGTCAGANATCAAAAAATCAATTAACACAAAGGAAGGCAGAAGGAAGAAAATGAGAGAGAAAACAAACCATGAGCCATGCAGAAAACAATCCACAGAGTGGCAGTGGGAGGCCTCGCAAATGGTGTGCTGGAGTCCTCCCAGAGGAGCTGCTCACTGAGCCCTTGGCGGTGGGCCTCATGGCATAGTCACCCAATAGGGTAGTGAGTTTCATCAGATGATAGTCTTTAAAAATGCAAATGAATTCTACAATCAAAAGACTGTCAGAGACTTACACATTGGTTGAAAGTGAAAGGATGAAAAAGGATATTCCATGCAAATGGTAACCAAAAATAAGGAGGAGGAGCTAATCTCAGACTAACTAGACTTAAGGACAAAAGCTGTTTTAAGAGATAATGACACTCAATTCACCAAAAAGATGTAACAGTTATAAACGTGCATGCAGCACACCTCAGAGCTCCTAAATACATGAAGCAAACACTGACAGAATAAAAGGAGAAACAGATAGTTCTACAGTAACAGTAGGCGACTTTAACATGTCACTTTTTTTTGAGACAGAATCTGACTCCGTTGCCCAGGCTGGAGTGCAGCGGCATCAGACAGGTCACTGCAACCTCCTGGATTCAAGTGATTCCTGTGCCTCAGCCTCAGAGTAGCTGGGATTACAGTTGTATGCCACCACACCTGGCTATTTTTAGTAGAGACAGGGTTTCACCATGTTGGCCAGGCTGGTCTTGAACTCCTGACCTCAAGTTATCCACCTGTCTAGGCCTCCCAAAGTGCTGGGATTACAGGCATGAGGCACTGTGCCTGGCCCAATAACTCACTTTCAATAATGGATACAACACCCAGACAGAAGATCGAGAAGGAAACAGAGGGCTTGAACAATACTATAGATGAATTGGACCTATCAGACATACACAGATGAGTTCACCCAGCAGCAGAATACACATTCTTCAAAGTACATGTGGAATGTTGTCTGGAAAAAATCATGTATTAGGCCTCAAAGCAAGATTTAATACATTTTAAGTGACTGAAATCATAATAGCAGGAGGAAAACCAGAATATTCACAAATCTATGGGAACTAAACATACTACAAAACTATGGATCAAAGAAAAATGATAAGGAAAATTAGAAAGTATTTTGGAACAAAACGTATCAAATCTTACGGGATGCAACAAAAGCAGTGCTGTGAGGGAAATTTATAGCTGTACATGCTTACATCAAAGAAAGCTGGCCAAGGGCAGTGGCTCACACCTGTAATCCCAGCACTTTGGAAGGATGAGGAAGGCAGATAACCTCATGTCAGGAGTTCAAGACCAGCCTGGCTGACGTGGCGAAATCCCATCTCTACTAGAAACATAAAAATCAGCCAGGTGTGGTGGCAGGCACCTGTAATCCCAGCTACTTGGGAGGCTGAGGCAGCAGAATCACTTGAACCTATGAAGAGGAGGTTGCAGCGGGCCGAGATTGCACCACTGCACTCCAGCCTAGGCAAGACAGCTAGACTCCATTTTCCCCAACCCCCACCCCTCCACACACACAAAGCAGCAGCAGCCAGGCATATTGACACTGTTCTATAATCCCAGCTACTTGGAAGGCTGAGGCCAGGAGATTGCTTGAGCCCAGGAATTTGAGACTAACTCAGCAAGTGGCAAGACCTCTGTCAAATAAAAGAAAAAGGAAAAAGCTCTTAAACCACAATCCTAACTTTGTACCTTAAATTATTAGAAAATGAAGAACAGCCTAAACCCAAAGCTAGGAGAAGAAAGGAAATAATAAAGGTTAGAACAGAAATAAATGAAATAGAAGATGGAAAAACTGACATAACTACCAAGGAGACTGAATCACTGACCAAAACTTGACAAGAAAGAAAAGTATAAGAACAGATGGCTTCAAGGGTGACCTGTACCAAACATTTACAGAACCAATATCAATCCTGCTTATCTTCAAAAAATCCTGAGAAAAGAATACCTCCAAACTCATTCTGTGTGGCCAGCATTACTGATACCAAAGGCAGACAAAGCAGCAGAAGAAAACACACCACTATCCCTGATCAATACCGATGCAAAAGTGCTCAAGAAAATACTAATAAGTAGAATTTAACAGTGTCATAGATGAATTACACAACATGATCAGTGAGAGTTCTTCCTGGAATGCAAAGGCGGTTACCATAAAAACATTAAGGTAAGATACCACATGAACAGAATGAAGGAAAGAAAACACATGACAATTTGTTTCAATTAGTACGGAAAAAGCATGTAATGAAGTTTAATATCCTTTCATGATTAAAAACATACTGACTAGAAATTGAAACAACCTCAAGGTAATAAAGGTCATATGAACAACCTCCAGCTAATATCATTCTCAATGATGAGAGACAAAGTTTTCCAAGATGATGAATAAAACAATGATGCCTGCTTTCACAATACTACATATCCTAGCCAGAGCTATTAAGAAAGGAAAAAGAAAAGGCATCCAAATTGGAAAGGAAGAAGTAAAATTTTCTCTATTAACAAATGACATGATCATCTTTGTAGAAAATCCTGAAGACTGCATAAAATAAACTGTTAGAACTAATAATTTGTCCAAGTTTCAGGATTATAAAATCAACATACAAGTCAGTTGCATTTCTACACACTAACAGTCAATGGTCCAAGAAGGAAATCAAGAAAACAGTTCCTGCTGGCTTGGCTGTGGATGTCTATAGTCCCAGCTACTTGGGAGGATGAGGCAGGAAAATTGCTTGAGCCTGGGAGCTCAATGCTATCAGTTTTTATAACGATTATGCCTGTGAATGGCCAGTGTACTCCAGCCTGGGCAACATAGTGAGACACCATCTTAAAAAAAAGAAAAAAGCCAGTTTACAATAGCATCAAAAAGAAGAAAATAGGAATAAACTTAACCAGGAGGCAAAGACTTTGTCAGG